GGTGTGGTGTGGTGACAAGATATACTTCTACGGCCGCAAGATGTTACGCAAGGTGGGGTGTGGTCGTGATGTTCTTTTTCTAAATGCCTCCACGACGTTACCGTTCCCCCCACGACGTTACCGTGCCCCCCACGACGTTACCGTGCCTCCCACGACGTTACCGTGCCTCCCTTGACGTTACCGTGCCCCCCACGCCGTTACCGTGCCCCCCACGACGTTACCGTGCCCCCCACGACGTTACCGTGCCCCAGGTTAAGGCCAACATCCCCGGTAATGACGGGGGGCGCGCCCGGCGTCTGGCGAAGCGTCTGCTGCTGGGGCGCGGGGAGCGCGGGGACCCCCAGCAGCTGCGGGTGGTGGACCCGCCCCCAGAGTACCTGATGGAGGACCTGCGCCTCACCCACGCTCACCTGCCCCATGAGTTTGTCCATATGCTCAGGAACATCAGGCGAGTGATGGGGGAACATGAGGCGAGTCGTGGGGGAACATGAGGCGAGTGATGGGGGAACATCAGGCGAGTGGTGGGGGAACATCAGGCGAGTGATGGGNGCCTGTGTGTCCTGAGTGTGTCTAGACACGGCCTGTGTGTCCTGAGTGTGTCTAGACACGGCCTGTGTGTCCTGAGTGTGTCTAGACACGGCCTGTGTGTCCTGAGTGTGTCTAGACACGGCCTGTGTGTCCTGAGTGTGTCTAGACACGGCCTGTGTGTCCTGAGTGTGTCTAGACACGGCCTGTGTGTCCTGAGTGTGTCTAGACACGGCCTGTGTGTCCTGAGTGTGTCTAGACACGGCCTGTGTGTCCTGAGTGTGTCTAGACACGGCCTGTGTGTCCTGAGTGTGTCTAGACACGGCCTGTGTGTCCTGAGTGTGTCTAGACACGGCCTGTGTGTCCTGAGTGTGTCTAGACACGGCCTGTGTGTCCTGAGTGTGTCTAGACACGGCCTGTGTGTCCTGAGTGTGTCTAGACACGGCCTGTGTGTCCTGAGTGTGTCTAGACACGGCCTGTGTGTCCTGAGTGTGTCTAGACACGGCCTGTGTGTCCTGAGTGTGTCTAGACACGGCCTGTGTGTCCTGAGTGTGTCTAGACACGGCCTGTGTGTCCTGAGTGTGTCTAGACACGGCCTGTGTGTCCTGAGTGTGTCTAGACACGGCCTGTGTGTCCTGAGTGTGTCTAGACACGGCCTGTGTGTCCTGAGTGTGTCTAGACACGGCCTGTGTGTCCTGAGTGTGTCTAGACACGGCCTGTGTGTCCTGAGTGTGTCTAGACACGGCCTGTGTGTCCTGAGTGTGTCTAGACACGGCCTGTGTGTCCTGAGTGTGTCTAGACACGGCCTGTGTGTCCTGAGTGTGTCTAGACACGGCCTGTGTGTCCTGAGTGTGTCTAGACACGGCCTGTGTGTCCTGAGTGTGTCTAGACACGGCCTGTGTGTCCTGAGTGTGTCTAGACACGGCCTGTGTGTCCTGAGTGTGTCTAGACACGGCCTGTGTGTCCTGAGTGTGTCTAGACACGGCCTGTGTGTCCTGAGTGTGTCTAGACACGGCCTGTGTGTCCTGAGTGTGTCTAGACACGGCCTGTGTGTCCTGAGTGTGTCTAGACACGGCCTGTGTGTCCTGAGTGTGTCTAGACACGGCCTGTGTGTCCTGAGTGTGTCTAGACACGGCCTGTGTGTCCTGAGTGTGTCTAGACACGGCCTGTGTGTCCTGAGTGTGTCTAGACACGGCCTGTGTGTCCTGAGTGTGTCTAGACACGGCCTGTGTGTCCTGAGTGTGTCTAGACACGGCCTGTGTGTCCTGAGTGTGTCTAGACACGGCCTGTGTGTCCTGAGTGTGTCTAGACACGGCCTGTGTGTCCTGAGTGTGTCTAGACACGGCCTGTGTGTCCTGAGTGTGTCTAGACACGGCCTGTGTGTCCTGAGTGTGTCTAGACACGGCCTGTGTGTCCTGAGTGTGTCTAGACACGGCCTGTGTGTCCTGAGTGTGTCTAGACACGGCCTGTGTGTCCTGAGTGTGTCTAGACACGGCCTGTGTGTCCTGAGTGTGTCTAGACACGGCCTGTGTGTCCTGAGTGTGTCTAGACACGGCCTGTGTGTCCTGAGTGTGTCTAGACACGGCCTGTGTGTCCTGAGTGTGTCTAGACACGGCCTGTGTGTCCTGAGTGTGTCTAGACACGGTCTGTGTGTCCTGAGTGTGTCTAGACACAGCCTGTGTGTCCGAGTTCACCATCCAAGCTTTATTAATATTGACTAAATCATTGTTTATTTACCTAATATATATAATTTAGAGTGATGCCACGACTGATGTCACTGTTATTAATATTGACTATAATATCATTGTTTTTATTTAGTTAATATATATTAAGTGCTGCCGCGACTGATGTCACTGTTTTTCCATAGGGTCACAAGCAGCCCTACAAGACCGTGACGGCGTACGCGCTCGAGGACTCCCTTGTCATGAAGTTCCCTATGGAGGCCGTGCAGGTGACGTGCCCTCTGTTACTGTCCGTTGTTACTGTCTCTGCTACTGTCTCTGTGTTACTGTCCTCTTACTGTCCTTATGTAACTGCCCTCTGCTACTGTCCTTCTGTTACTGTATCTGTGTTACTGCCCTCTGTGTTACTGTCCTTATGTTACTGTCTCTGTGTTACTGTCATTATGTTACTGCCTCTGTGTTACTGTCTCTGTTACTGCCCTCTGCTACTGTCCTCTGTGTTACTGTCTATGTCTTACTGGCTTCTGCTACTTTCCTCATGTTACTGTCTCTGTGTTACTGCCTACTGCTACTATCCTTACGTTATAGCCTCTTAGTTACTGCCCTTATGTTATAGCCTCTTAGTTACTGTCCTTATGTAGCAGCCTCTGTTACTGCCCCATCATTTTCTTCACGAGTCTGAGGTGTTACTGACAGATTCAGATCTTCATGGGCATGTCTTAGTCATACAATGGTAGGTAGAGTTAATCCGTTGTTCCGAAGCTTCTAATTTTGTATTAATCTATTTATAACATATTCATCAACTTGAAACCATGTGGCTTGAAGCTGTGACTCAAATTTCTGGAAAACTAATGCAATAGCTTCTTTGTTGGGGACGTAGTAGGCGTAGCAGTCCCAGGTCGTGCTGGTGCACCGCCTTGGTATACCGCCAACCTCTGACCCTGGCAGTAGAGAACATCACCTACTTTACTACCTACCACTAATTTAACGCCCATGTTCTACAAAACTTATTTTTCAATTCATATTCTACCGTTCGTTTCCTACCACCTCATAGTGTGACCCATATGCTACCTTACCTATTCGCTACTACCATTATTCTTTATTCTATTCTACTACCAATACTACAATACGGTACTATTCTACAACATTATTCTATTCTACTACCATTATTCTACCTCTGATTGTGGCGGAAAAAAGCCACTGAACGGCGGTTGATGGTGAAATATTGACATGCGTCCATATAATGATAGGTAATGATGTCTTGTGATGATACAATGATACTGTGTTGCGTGCAGGCCATCTTCACGCAGCGGCCTGCTATGTCTTGTGATGATACAATGATACTGTGTTGCGTGCAGGCCATCTTCACGCAGCGGCCTGCGATGTTCGTGCGTGCCGTGCAGATCGTGATGGCACGTCTCATGCGTGTCACGTTCACGGCTATGCACCACTACCTCGGCCTGTCCTCTGAGCTCATAAGCAGGGTAGGGGGGCGGTAGGGGGGGCGTGGGATGTTATTGGTCATTAATAATATTAATTTTAATATAAAAACTCACCCTAATATCGATGAATTTTAGTATAAAAGTCATCCTAATATCGATGAATTTTTATATATATCTCACCCTAATATCAACCTAATATCAATGAATTTATATATAAAACTCATCCTAATATCAATGAATTTTTATATAAAACTCACCCTAATATCAACCTAATATCGATGAACTTTAATAAAAAACTCACCCTAATATCGATGAATTTTAATATAAAAACTCAACCTAATATCAATGAATTTTACTATAAAATCTCACCCTAATATCAACCTAATATCGATGAATTTTTATACCTACTCAACTTTGAGAATCAACCTAATATCGATGAATTTTTATACCTACTCAACTTTGAGAATCAACCTAATATCGATGAATTTTTATACCTACTCAACTTTGAGATAAGGAAGAGATAATAATAATGATATCAACCCTCGAGAGTGATGAAAATTGATAAATGTCTCTTTCGTAGAGGCGATTTTCCTGTTTGGGCACCACTGTGGGTTTGGGTACCACTGTGGGTTTGGGTACCACTGTGGGTTTGGGTACCACTGTGGGTTTGGGTACCACTGTGGGTTTGGGTACCACTGTGGGTTTGGGTACCACTGTGGGTTTGGGTACCACTGTGGGTTTGGGTACCACTGCGGGTTTGGGTACCACTGCGGGTTTGGGTACCACTGCAGGTTTGGGTACCACTGCTTATGTATGGTACCACCGACCATTTTAAGGACCACTAATAGTAACCATTGTCTCAGGTACCGCGGCGCGTAAGTAACACCTCCCTCAGCTCCCCCAGCAAGGCCAAGGCTGAGCCCTTCCCCATCACCACGTCCGCCCCCAGCACAGGTGATCTTTATTGCAAAAATAGCCGTAATTTATATTATATTATATATTATTAATATTATATATTATTATGCATAGTATTATTAATACAAAAATTAGCCGTAATATATATTACCGCTCCTAATATTAATTTTATGCAAGTTTTATTGAAGACCAGAGCGTATTTCTGGTCTTCAAATAAGCTCTAGTCTTCAATAAAACTTGCATAAAAGAAAAGCTTCTGCCTAACTATACTAATATTAATTTATATAATAATATCATAATATATATATCATTATATCATTAATAAAGGCTTCGTGAATCGTTGATGTAAAGCGTTCGTTGCATTTTTGTGAAGAGTTATAGGACATCAGAATAAAGCGGCGTACAAAATGTATAATAATTAATAATTACTTTGACGTGGCGCTAACTTGTCACACGATGGCTTAGGATATGTAATGGTCCTCAGCACGCTGGCTATTTGGGTTCTTTCATGTTCAATACTTGAGTAAAAATAATGTACATATATATTTTTTTACTTTTAAATAGTGGAGCGAATGAATGAATTGAGAACTTCTCTTAACAAAAATTGAGTAACGCCTAGCTTCAGCCCAAGAGTCGTTACACTAGGCTTGGAGTTATTTATTCTAGGTCTGCTTGGCCACCCGATCGGATTAAGCTGCTCGTCAGCATCTGCGTTCCGACTTAATAGTGTCCAAACTGTATGAAATATGTGTCCTGAGAGTATAACACGTCATAACACGTCTGTCCTGAAAGTATGACACGTCTGTCGTAACACGTCTGTCATATAACACGTCTGTCATATAACACGTCATAACACGTCTAACACGTCTGTAACATAACACGTCTGTCATATAACACGTCTGTCATATAACACGTCTGTCATATAACACGTCTGTCTGGTATAACACGTCTGTCCTGAGTATGACAAGGGTTGGCTGGCCGAGTCATGTCGAGCTTGCAAGCTGACCAGAGGCTGTATTTCAAGCCCGACCGAAGGGAAAATTAGAAGCTGATTTACGCGATCCCCGAGTCCTGGGCGGAACCTGTTTCATGTCGGGTTCGCATTCAGATTTAGTTAGGGCTAGTACAAACCTAACCTGTGGCTAGTTTAGTTAGGGCTAGTACAAACCTAACCTCGTGCACTGCAGAAGTGAAGTTGTCCACCCTGGACACGGTGGACGCAGTGGACGCCGTGTCCTCCGCCCCGGGCGCCGTATCCTCCGCCCCGGGCGCGGTGTCCTCCACCCAGGGCGCGGTGTCCTCCGCCCAGGGCGCGGTGTCCTCCGCCCAGAGCGCGGTGTCCTCCGCCCAGGGCGCGGTGTCCTCCGCCCAGGGCGCCGTGTCCTCCAAGACCACCTCAGGACGACGCATTGTCCTCGTAGACCCGCGGGACGAAGACGACCACGAGCTCCTCGAGATCGCCACCAAGAAACTGCAGGTAACTTTTGCTGTCGATGTTGATCATCATATCATGGGGATATTTCAGGGCGGTTTGGTATATTCCTGGTAACTTATTGATTGATTTTTCCACTATCATTTATATATCAGGTAACTTCTGGGACGTTTTTTAATTACCATCACATGCAAATTTCAGGTAGTGTTTTTTTTATAACATCCATTGGCTATTGTCTCCCGACTGCCCGTGACGCTGACCGTGTGCTCGCCCGCAGGCGCTGCTGCAGCTGCCCTCTGACGAGCTCCTGCGGGGGGGCGTCGAGGTGCGCAGCGTCGTCCCCGACGAGCTCATCATGCGTCAAGACTCCGTCCTGGTGCGTTATGCGTACTTAACACGTTGACTACGTATTGGTACATATGCGTACCACGAAATGTATTTCTCCTGGTACATAATTCAGGGTTGCCAGATGGCCTAAAAAACGGCCAATTAAATCCGTGAACACAAAGGCCAAAAAGGCCTATAACTCAAGATCTGTCTCTTATACACATCTAGATGTGTATAAGAGACAGGATTAAGGCNAAATTAATTTTATATCATAAATATATTAATATTACCTATGTTACACGCCCGTAGCCCTGTCTCTTATACACATCTAGATGTGTATAAGAGACAGCACGTACACTGTACAGGACGTGGCGCTGGTGTACGTACTGACCTACACTTCAGTATAGCAGCACTATGTACACTGACATGTACACTGTACAGGACGTGGCGCTGGTGTACGTACTGACCTACACTTCAGTATAGCAGCACTATGTACACTGACCTGCCCTATGTACACTGACCTGCCCTATGTACACTGATGTACACTGTACAGGACGTGGCGCTGGTGTACGTACTGACGGGGTCGCTGATGGTGAGCCAGCACCCCCCTGAGGACGTGGCCGCTGCAGAGGGCGGCGCCCCCCAGCCCTCCTCCAGGCACCCCTCCAGCAGGCATGAAGGTCTCGTGTCGTACCTGTCCTGGAGCTCTAACCATCTGTTGAACCATCTGTCTAAAAACCTTAACGATCTGTAGAATCATCTGTTGAACCATCTGTTTAAATACCATCTGTATCAAATATTGTTTGCAGGCGCTATAATGGTATTTATCATCATTGTAAAGTATCGTATATTGTTTGCAGGCATTAGAAAGTATTTATCATCATTTTAAAGTATGTTATATTATTTACAGGCATGAAGCGGGACGGTAACGGCAGCAGCAGCACGAGCAGCAACACGAGCACCCCCAGACACCTCCCCAAGAGGCCCTATAATGTCCCCAAGCTTGCTGCCTCCCCCCGAGGCGGGGAGGACAGAGAGGTTCACATGTTCACTGGTCAGTAATGTCCCCAAGCTTGCTGCCTCCCCCCGAGGCGGGGAGGACAAAGAGGTGCACATGTTCACTGGTCAGTAATGTCCCCAAGCTTGCTGCCTCCCCCCGAGGCGGGGAGGACAAAGAGGTTCACATGTTCACTGGTCAGTGGCACGCCTCATTGTCCCGGGCCCATACTTTCAAAAAAAATTAAGAGATCGTAAGTTCATCAGCCAATCATTGACGGCCTTTCATGCAAAATCCACCAATCATACACAAGAAAATAGAGCGTAAGTACTTACGTTCACTTAGCCAGGTTTGAAAGTATGGCCCCTGGTCCTAATTACAGCATTATTTATTATTGATTATTAGCTTATGGATTATTAGGTCTAGATGCCTTAGCTCAGGCCTTAGCTGAGAAATTCTTGAAATTCTTGAAATGACTGCATTGGCTGGATATGGTATAGGTATATCTTTCATAGATATATAATATATATAGATATATAACAGATGATATAAAACATATATCATTCATTCAATATCATTATAATAGGTTTAGATGCCTTAGCTCAGGTCTTAGCTGGAAAATTCTTTGAATGATTTCATTGGCTGGATATGGTATAGGTATATCTTTCATAGATATATAATATATATAGATATATAACAGATGATATAAACCGTATATCATTCATTCAATGCCATTATAATAGGTCTAGATGCCTTTGCTCAGGCCTTAGGTCTTAGTTGAGAAATTCTTGAAATGATTGCATTGGCTGGATATGATATAGGTATACCTTTCATAGATATATAATATATATTGATATATAACAGATGATATAAACCATATATCATTCATTCAATGCCTACTAATTTACCCCAAATGTGCAGTATTTAGCCAATTCAATCCAGTCTGTCCTCCGTGTGCTCAATGGTGCGCTAAATGATACTGTTAATGTGGGTAATTGATTTATTTATTTATTATATATTATATTATATGGTAAATAAATTATATTATTATATTATTATTATATATTATATATTATTATATTATATTTATTTATTTTTAATTTATTCTATATGAAGTGTGGTAATAGATTAAAATAATAACATTCGCTTCACTGGTGCACCGGTTATGCTACAGCTGAATATTATTGGTTCACATGTGGCCCAAGAGCCTGGGACATGTCGAACATTGATGGTTCACATATGATTTGTTCCCCAATTGATCGGTAACGTGTCGAGTTAATGTTGGTTCACGTGTGGCCCAAAAGCCTGGGACATTACGAACATTGTTGGTTCGCATATGGTTTGTTCCCCAATTGATCGGTAACGTGTCAAGTTAATGTTGGTTCACGTGTGTCTCAAAAGCCTGGGACATTACGAAAATTGTTGGTTCACATATGATTTGTTCCCCAATTTTTGGGTAACGTGTCAAATTAATATTGGTTCACGTGTGGCCCAAAAGCCAGGGACATGTCGAACATTGATGGTTCGCAAATGGTTTGTTCCCCAATTAATGAGGAACGTGTCGAGTAATGTTGGTTCACTTTATAGACGTGTAGAGTTCTTTGATACAGTCTGGTTCTTCTCCCTACATGTGTTCAAAATAAATTGCATCTCCTTCAGACTGTAAAATTTATTGTTTCTTTTATCTCGCTCAGACTGTAAAATTTATTGCGTTTTTTATCTCCCCCAAACTGTTAATTTTATATTTTTATTCATATATTTATGTCTATAAATATATTAAAATCACCTATGCTCCATGTCCGTTTTTCAAAAAGCGTGCAAAATTATGGAGATAATAAACAAATATATCGAGATAATAAATTATCTCCATATATTACAGCTTTATATAGCGTATATTGCCGTATTTTATACTAATTCTACACGTACGACAGCTTTATATAGCGTATATTGCCGTATTTTCTACTAATTCTACACGTACGGCAGCTGTGTATAACGTATATATTAATATTTTATACTAATTCTACACGTACGGCGCCTTCTCATACATGAAATTGTGTTTAAATCTACTAATTGTATTGGTTTTCTCTGTATACTTCTGTATTTCTACTAATTATACACGTACGGCAACTTTATATAACGTATATTGCCGTATTTTCTACTAATTCTACACGTACGACAGCTTTATATAACGTATATTGCCGTATTTTATACTAATTCTACACGTACGACAGCTTTATATAACGTATATTTTCGTATTTTATACTAATTCTACACGTACTCAGCCGTGACACCTTCTACACGTACGACAGATTCTTATCTAAAAATTGTGTTTAAATCTACTAATTGTATTGTTTTTCTCTGTATACATCTGTATTTTCTACTAATTCTACACGTATGGCAGCTTCTCATACATGAATTTGTGGCTAATTCTACTTATTGTATTGTTTTCTCTGTATATTTGCGTAGTTTTACCAATTCTACACGTACAGCGCCTAATTTGCCCTCAATTTTTACCACGAATTGTAGTTGACCGGCAGAAAAATTTCGAAAGTTTGCGGATGTCTTTTATATAACGTAAGATCATTTAAGTGCTTAATGCACAAATGTATCCTAAATTTGATAGTAAATAAAATACCTAGTCAAAAATTATGCTAATATACGAAAATTGTACACGCTTCTCTGTTATTTTCCAAGCACCAGCAGCCAACACATACTCTATAGCTCAGATTTAGTCTATTAGTTTTTGTCCATTATAGTTTATTGTTATTATTTATCACATAAGTTGATAATTGTAAATATGTTGCACAGGATCCTACACCGTCACCCGCGCGTGGCGCTGCACGTCGCGTCGTGTTACTATTATTGATTATTATTATTATTGATTATTGTTAAAATTATTAATTATTGTTATTATTATTAATTACATATAAGTTGATAATTGTATATATTGCACAGGATCCTACACCGTCACCCGCGCGTGGCGCTGCACGTCGCGTAGTGTTATTATTATTGATTATTGTTATTATTATTATTGATTATTGTTAAAATTATTTATTATTGTTCTTATCAATAATTACATATAAGTTGACTATTGTAAATATATTGCACAGGATCCTACACCGTCACCCGCGCTGGCGCTCCATGTCGCGTCGTTTTATTATTATTGATTATTATTATTTGTTATTATGCTATTTTTATTATGTTATTTTTATTTATTACATATAAATTGATAATTGTAAATATGTTGCACAGGATCCTACATCGTCACCCGCGCGTGGCGCTGCACGTCGCGTCCACGGTCATCATGCGCATGTCGCCCTTCGTCAGGCAGATAGACTTCGCCCTCGACTGGGAGCACCTCGAGGCNCACTAGACAACACTAGACATCACTAGACATCACACACACCACGGGCAGGAAGGAGGTCGTCTCGGAGTACGGCAAGGGCGAGCTCGTGGGGATAGTGAGTGATACTAGACACTAGTACACTAGACACTAGACATCACTAGACATCACTAGACAACACTAGACATCACTAGACATCACACACACCACGGGCAGGAAGGAGGTCGTCTCGGAGTACGGCAAGGGCGAGCTCGTGGGGATAGTGAGTGATACTAGACACTAGTACACTAGACACTAGACATCACTAGACATCACTAGACAACACTAGACATCACTAGACATCACACACACCACGGGCAGGAAGGAGGTCGTCTCGGAGTACGGCAAGGGCGAGCTCGTGGGGATAGTGAGTGATACTAGACACTAGTACACTAGACACTAGACATCACTAGACATCACTAGACAACACTAGACATCACTAGACATCACACACACCACGGGCAGGAAGGAGGTCGTCTCGGAGTACGGCAAGGGCGAGCTCGTGGGGATAGTGAGTGATACTAGACACTAGTACACTAGACACTAGACATCACTAGACATCACTAGACAACACTAGACATCACTAGACATCACACACACCACGGGCAGGAAGGAGGTCGTCTCGGAGTACGGCAAGGGCGAGCTCGTGGGGATAGTGAGTGATACTAGACACTAGTACACTAGACACTAGACATCACTAGACATCACTAGACAACACTAGACATCACTAGACATCACACACACCACGGGCAGGAAGGAGGTCGTCTCGGAGTACGGCAAGGGCGAGCTCGTGGGGATAGTGAGTGATACTAGACACTAGTACACTAGACACTAGACATCACTAGACATCACTAGACAACACTAGACATCACTAGACATCACACACACCACGGGCAGGAAGGAGGTCGTCTCGGAGTACGGCAAGGGCGAGCTTGTGGGGATAGTGAGTGACACTAGACACTAGTACACTAGACATTACTAGACACTAGTAAACTAGACATCTGTAGACACTAGGCATCACTAGACACTAGACATCACACACACCACGGGCAGGAAGGAGGTCGTCTCGGAGTACGGCAAGGGCGAGCTCGTCGGGATAGTGAGTGACTAGACACTAGTACACTAGACATTACTAGACACTAGTCATCACTAGACACTAGTACACTAGACACTAGACATCACCCACAACACGGGCAGGAAGGAGGTCGTCTCGGAGTACGGCAAGGGCGAGCTCGTCGGGATAGTGAGTGACACTAGACATCACTAGACACTAGACACTAGACACTAGTACACTAGATAACACTAGACATTGCTGAACATCATTAGACATTACTAGACATCACTAGAGTACGGCACGGGCGAGCTTGTGGGGATAGTGAGTGACACTAGACACTAGTACACTAGACATCACTAGACACTAGACATCACTAGACACTAGACATCACTAGACACTAGACATCACTAGACACTAGACATCACTAGACATTGCTAGACAACACTAGACATCTCTAGACATCACTAGACATCGCTAGACATCGCTAGACATCACTAAACATCACTAGACATCACCTCAGCCTTGTAGACATCACTAGACATCACCTCAGTCTTCTAGACATCACTAGATATCACCTCAGCCTTGTAGACATTACTAGACATCACTATAGACATCACTAGACATTGCTTAACATCATTAGACATCACTAGACATCTCTCTACATCTTATATGAACTCATGTATGAAATAGTTTTCGTACGCGCTCATTATCAAGAGCGTGCACGCATTCCTTCTAATTGTTAAGCAATCGTGCGGTATATTGTTTAATTATCTTAATCTTCACGTAATTATCTGAATTGTCATATAATTATCATTATCATTATGCAACTATCATTATAATTATGTAATCGTCTTAACCACCATATAATTAAGATAATAATGATATAATCTATAATCATCAAAACCACTATCTATGTACTTCAGATACTGATTATGTAACCATCATAAACACCATATAATCAAGATAATAATGATATAATCATCAAAACCACTATCTATGTACTTATGGTAATAATGATATAGTCAGTGATTAGTCAGTTTAACCACCATGCAATCAATTTAGTAATGATATACCTATAACTCTGTTTATTATTGTATTTATTTTTTAAGATATTAAATTTATTAATAAATATAATAACAATATACTACATGGTGCAGGTAGAGCTGCTCACAGACACTGACCGTAGCACGACCGTGATGGCCGTAATATAACAATATNTCTCATCAGGCTCCTTGGCAACCGTATCATCGGTGAGACTCGTTATCTATCATTATCTCGTCTCATCAGGCTCCTTGGCAACCGTATCATCGGTGAGACTCGTTATCTATCATTATCTCGTCTCATCAGGCTCCTTGGCAACCGTATCATCGGTGAGACTCGTTATCTATCATTATCTCGTCTCATCAGGCTCCTTGGCAACCGTATCATCGGTGAGACTCGTTATCTATCATTATCTCGTCTCATCAGGCTCCTTGGCAACCGTATCATCGGTGAGACTCGTTATCTATCATTATCTCGTCTCATTATCATTACGTCTCATGCTATAATAATCTCGTCTCATTGTCATGTATAAGTGAATGTATGCAGCAACCGTATCATCGGTGAGACTCGTCTCATGCTATCATTATCTCGTCTCATTAATCAATTAAAATTAATTTTTAAATTATAAATAATTATATTGATGCACTGTTAATAATTTCATCATTATTTCAGGGAGCTGGCGGTCTACAGTGAGCAGGGAGCCCCTAGGAGTGTCGCGCCTGCAGGCCTCCTGCAGCAGCTCCTTCTCCACCGTCGCCATCCTGCCCATCTCTGAGGACGTCCCCACCACCCAGTTCACCCTGGAGCTCTTCCACTGTCTCCATGCTATAGGTACCTGGAGCTGCTCCATGCTATAGGTACCTGGAGCATCTCTGAGGACGTCCCCACCACCCAGTTCACCCTGGAGCTCTTCCACTGTCTCCATGCTATAGGTACCTGGAGCTGTTCCATGCTATAGGTACCTGGAGCTGTTCCATGCTATAGGTACCTGGAGCTGTTCCATGCTATAGGTACCTGGAGCTGTTCCATGCTATAGGTACCTGGAGCTGTTCCATGCTATAGGTACCTGGAGCTGTTCCATGCTATAGGTACCTGGAGCTGTTCCACTCCCTCCATGCTATAGGTACCTGGAGCTGTTCCACTCCCTCCACGCTATAGGTACTAGGTGCTCTAGTGCCTAGTTCTAGGTGCTAATTTCTTGATATGCAGTTTGTTTGTGTCGTCATAAGATTATTATTAAGTGCGCTGTACAGTGTAGACGTCAGAGGTGGTGCATCAGCATGACCATGTATGATGTCCATAGAAACCTGTAACTTGTAGGATTTTCATTCCTGTAAACCTGCAGGATTTTTATTCCTATAAACCTGTAGGATTTTAAGTCCTGTAAACCTGTAGGATTTTTATTCCTATAAACCTGCAGGATTTTATTCCTGTAAACCTGTAGGATTTTCATTCCTGTAAACCTGTAGGATTTTACTTCCTGTAAACCTGTAGGATTTTAATTCCTGTAAACCTGCAGGATTTTATTCCTGTAAACCTGTAGGATTTTATTCCTGTAAACCTGCAGGATTTTATTCCTGTAAACCTGTAGGATTTTAATTCCTGTAAACCTGTAGGATTTTAATTCCTGTAAACCTGCAGGATTTTAATTCCTGTAAACCTGTAGGATTTTCATTCCTGTAAACCTGCAGGATTTTCATTCCTTTAAACCCTTAGGATTTTATTCCTGTAAACCCTTAGGATTTTATTGCTGTAAACCTGCAGGATTTTCATTCCTATAAACCTGTAGGATTTTCATTCCTGTAAACCTGTAGGATTTTATTCCTGTAAACCTGTAGGATTTTAATTTTTTATGTTGTTAATTTAATTGCACGATTTAATCTGTAACCTGCATGATTATAGTTCGTTATGTTATTAATTTAACTGCACAATTTAACCTGTAACCTGCGTTATTTTAATTCGTTATGTTATTAATTTAACGTCATAATTAAATTGAATTCCTGTAAACCTGCAGGATTTTATTCCTGTAAACCTGTAGGATTGTAATTCCTTATGTTGTTAATTTAATAACCTGTATTATTATAATCCATTATGTTGTTAATTTAACGTCATATTTAAATGTAATGTCAGGAGCGACAGCGCGGCTGACGTCTGACTACGTCGTCAGGAGCCTGGGCACCAGCATCTGGGAGGCTGGCAACGAACACCAGCTCATCTCCTGGCTGGGACAGGTCAATATATGAATATTTTAATATAGTGAATATATAATATATTGGGACAGGTAACTCTAATAGAACTGGTAAACATACTGGACACGTAAATTTAAAATTATAGTAAATATCAAGTATAATGGGACAGGCGAATATAAGAATATATTAAATATATAATATATTGGGATAGGTAAATGTAATGGGATACGTGAATATAATGGGGCAGGTAAATATACTGGACGTGTTAATATAATGGGACAGGTAAATATAATGCACAGGTGCATATAATGGGACAGGTGAATGTAATGGGACAGGTGAATATGATGGGACAGGTAAATATAATGGGACAGGTGAATGTAATGGGACAGGTGAATGTAATGGGACAGGTGAATGTAATGGGACAGGTGAATGTAATGGGACAGGTGAATGTAATGGGACAGGTGAATATAATGGGACAGGTGAATATAATGGGACAGGTGAATGTAATGGGACAGGTGAATGTAATGGGACAGGTGAATATAATGGGACAGTCAAATCTAATGCCACGCATAAATAAACCTAAGTGACACCAGCATTGAACGTAGCTTTATCTGAGAATGCAGACCAATATCTGATAACATGTACACTTTTGGGGAAATAATATTTTAAAACGGACAAGTTAATCAATTATCAGCTTATTAGATTCATTAATTCTGTAGGGTTGGAATTAAATATAGGGAAGTTCATATTCAGGAACGTAATCAATTCTTATCTCTATGTTAATTCAAGACCGTTTCCTAACAAATATATTTATTACTAATATATTTATTTTATCCTGAATAATATCATTATTCTATGGTAATAAAATAAATGGATGGTGTAGGTTGCAGACCAGCACAGCACGACGCTGTACCAGTGACAATATCATTATCATATGCTAACAATTGTTATTATATCCTGAACAATATCATTATCATATGCTAACAATTGTTATTATATCCTGAACAATATCATTATCATATGCTAACACTTGTTATTATATCCTGAACAATATCATTATCGTATGCTAACAATTGTTATTATATCCTGAACAATATCATCATCGTATGCTAACAATTGTTATTATATCTTATTATTATTATTCTATGGCAATAAATGTATATGTCAGGTTGAGGACCAGCACAGCACGACGCTGTATCAGTGCGACGCGGGCCTGACGGTGTGGACGCAGCGCTGCATACGTCAGGCCGACGTCATCCTCACCGTGGGGCTGGCCTGTAACAGCCCCAACATGGGCAAGGTATAGTGCCTGTAACAGCCCCAACATGGGCAAGGTATAGTGCCTGTAACAGCCCCAACATGGGCAAGGTATAGTGCCTGTAACAGCCCCAACATGGGCAAGGTATAGTGCCTGTAACAGCCCCAACATGGGCAAGGTATAGTGCCTGTAACAGCCCCAACATGGGCAAGGTATAGTGCCTGTAACAGCCCCAACATGGGCAAGGTATAGTGCCTGTAACAGCCCCAACATGGGCAAGGTATAGTGCCTGTAACAGCCCCAACATGGGCAAGGTATAGTGCCTGTAACAGCCCCAACATGGGCAAGGTATAGTGCCTGTAACAGCCCCAACATGGGCAAGGTATAGTGCCTGTAACAGCCCCAACATGGGCAAGGTATAGTGCCTGTAACAGCCCCAACATGGGCAAGGTATAGTGCCTGTAACAGCCCCAACATGGGCAAGGTATAGTGCCTGTAACAGCCCCAACATGGGCAAGGTATAGTGCCTGTAACAGCCCCAACATGGGCAAGGTATAGTGCCTGTAACAGCCCCAACATGGGCAAGGTATAGTGCCTGTAACAGCCCCAACATGGGCAAGGTATAGTGCCTGTAACAGCCCCAACATGGGCAAGGTATAGTGCCTGTAACAGCCCCAACATGGGCAAGGTATAGTGCCTGTAACAGCCCCAACATGGGCAAGGTATAGTGCCTGTAACAGCCCCAACATGGGCAAGGTATAGTGCCTGTAACAGCCCCAACATGGGCAAGGTATAGTGNACGTATCTCAGCTGGAGCTGCACGTGGAGCAGGTAGCACAGGCACTAACCCCATTCTCCCCCTCCACGTGTCTCAGCTGGAGCTGCACGTGGAGCAGGTAGCACAGGCACTAACCCCATTCTCCCCCTCCACGTGTCTCAGCTGGAGCTGCACGTGGAGCAGGTGGCACGTCGCACACAGAAGGTGCTGGTGCTCCTACACCGTCAGGATGGTGCGCCTCCTACAGGAACTGTACGCTGGCTCAACGCGCGCTCCTACTGCCATGCGCACTACCACATCGCTGCGCCCCACAGGATGTTCCATGCCCGCAACTCACACTCTAAAATTGTGAGATATGATTGTGATACAATATTTATATATCATATCACTATATTATATAGCAATAGGTATAATATTGTCTTGAATACATTCACCACAGGATGTTCCATGCGCGCAACTCACACTCCAAAATTGTGAGATATGATTGTGATACAATATACATATTATATATTTTATCACAATATTATATATCAATAGATATAATATTGTCTTAAATATCACTAACCACAGGATGTTCCATGCGCGCAACTCACACTCTAAAATTGTGAGATGTCATAGTGATACAATATTTACATATAATATTACTATATTATATATCAATAGATATAATATTGGAGTGTCGCAACTCTCACTCTAAAATTGTGAGATATGATTGTGATACAATATTTATATATCATATCACTATATTATATATCAATAGATATAATATTGTCTTGAATACCACTTATCCACAGGATGTTCCATGCGCGCAACTCACACTCAAAAATTGTGAGATATGATTGTGATACAATATTTATATATATCACTATATTATATATCAATAGATTTAATATTGTCTTGAATATCACCGTTATTGTGAGATGTCATAGTGATACAATATATAGGTAATATATCGTATCACTATATTATTTATATCGAAAATTGTGAGATGTCATAGTGATACAATATACAAATAATATATCATTTCACTATATTATAAATCAATAGTCATAGTGATTCAATATTTATGTAATATATTTAATCGCTATTTTATTTATCAATAGATATAATATTGTCTTGAATATCACTGTTATTGTGATACCTATATAATAGTGATATTATCGCGAATATCATTGTTATTGTAAGATATAATAGTGATTGTGTCGTGAATAGCACTATTATTGTGATATTCAATAATATTGTTTTGCATATGAACGTAAAATAGTGAAATTGTCCTGTAAAATAATGAGCTTCATGCTGGTATTTTATCTTTCATTATTATATTAATAACAGTTGCAATAGAAGTAATTTTAATTGTTATTACCTTCCATACAATTCAGTGATTAGTAATAGATTTGTGGTAATTAACGAGCACCTTGACTAATTCAACTTTTAATCACCTTCCCTACAATTATCACGGCAGTTATTAAGTAAGACTGTAATGACCGTGCAGCTGGAGTGATTAAAGCTAGGTAATTTGGTAAGTAATTCATGCTACTCAATTCATATTATTCCCCTTAATTAATTGGTGGTAATGACGGTGCAGCTGGAGTACTACAACAACAAGGTACTAAGTACCCCCGTGAGCGTATGGTTATATTGGTAATGACCGTGCAGCTTGAGTACTACAACAGCAAGGTACTAAGTACCCCCGTGAGCGTACACAGCGACTTCTCCCGCCTGGCGCGGGCCATCACGGGGACCAGCGTGGGGCTCGTGCTGGGGGGCGGGGGCGCCCGTGGGGCCGCCCACATCGGCATGATGAAGGCCCTCACCGTGAGTGCCCACGTCTCTTCTTTTATAAAAAAAATTAATTTTCTTATTAATTTTAAAATAATCTTAATTTTCTTCACCTTTTTAAAGTTTCTCGTATCAAAAATCTCGTAACTTTTCAAAATTCTCAAATTTATTCAAAATTATCTTTTTTTTTCATAATTATTTTACCGAAATTTGATTTATTTTTTTATGCTCCAAATAAAATCCCCAAATCTCGGGAGTTTCATCAAAATTTTTCAATTATTTCAACACTCGCCATCACACGATTGAGTCATTCAACTTACAATACACTCATAAAAATCAAGGAGACTGTGTCCATATATCGATGTAATTTCACCCTTGTATGGGTCATCCTGACCCACTTCAGTATCATTGCTACATCTACCTCCCCTTGCTCGTGCCGTGAATAAGACGTGCAATAAGTTGGTGACTTATATATGCTCTGGTAATATAATGATTAATCATTAATTACTTAATGCACTAATTTGTAAATATAATGAGTCATCACAGTTTGAGACATTTTGATGCAGTAATTTGTATGGGTGTGCGCAGGAGGCCGGGGTGCCTATAGACATGGTGGCGGGGGTGAGCATCGGGGCCTTGTTCGGGGCACTGTACTGCCTAGAGAAGGACCTGGCCCGCGTCACGCAGAAGGCCCGTGCCTGGAGTATGGTGAGTTGTGTGGTGCCTGGAGTATGGTGAGTTATATGGTGCCTGGAGTATGGTGAGTTGTATGGTGCCTGGAGTATGGTGCCTCTACTGCCTGGAGTATGGTGAGTTGTATGGTGCATGAAGTATGGTGCCTCTACTGCCTGGCGTATGGTGAGTTGTATGGTGCATGAAGTATGGTGCCTCTACTGCCTGGAGTATGGTGAGTTGTATGGTGCATGAAGTATGGTGCCTCTACTGCCTGGTGTATGGTGAGTTGTATGGTGCTCCATATTCATGATGAAATAGAGCCAGAAATCATAAATAACTTTTCTCATTACCAGCAGTTGTGAAACCTAAACATCTGAAACCGTACTATCAAAAAGTACATGTAGCTGCCTAAGTACATGACCAATTTCTCGTTCGTAATTGATGGTTGTAGCTGGAAAAGTCCTCAGTGATTGGCTAACGGAGGTACAAACTCGTAACTATTTATGATATGAAGCTGTCCTCATGCTCATGTCCAGCTTCCATGGTGCAGAAAATAACTCTCTGCTTGCTCCATGGTGCAGAAAATGACGAGCAAGTGGCGTCTGGCGCTGGAGCTGACGTACCCTATAGTGTCGATGTTCTCGGGTCTGGGCTTCAACCAACTTATCAGGGAGGTGCTGGGCGACACCAACATAGAGGACCTCTGGCTGCCTTACTTCACCCTCACCACAGACATCACAGACAGCGCCGCCCGCATCCACACTCATGGTGAGACGTGGTGCCTTGATATGGGGGGACTTAGGGCTTATGTGGGGGACTTGGGCCACTAGGGGGGACTTGGGTCACCTGGGGGGACTTAAATGACACTAACATAGAGGACCTTTGGCTGCCTTACTTCACACTCACCACAGACATCACAGACAGCGCCGCCCGCATCCATACTCATGGTGAGACGTGGTGCCTTGACATGGGGGGACTTAGGGCTTATGGGGGGACTTGGGGCTTATGGGGGGACTTAGGGCTTATGGGGGGACTTAGGGCTTATGGGGGGACTTGGGTCACCTGGGGAGACTTGGGTCATCTGGGGGACTTAGGTCACCTGGGGGGGACTTAGGTCACCTGGGGGGACTTGGGTCACCTGGGGGGACTTAGGTCACCTGGGGGGGACTTGGGCCACTAAAGGGTGAATTGGGCCACTGGAACAGACTTGGGCTTCCTTGGGGTCCTTAGGATATATGGAAGGCTTTGGAATGCTAATGAGGTCCTTATGAGATCTGGAGGACCCTTGAGGCAATTGGGGGTACTGGGGACACTTGGAGTAACCTAATTTCGGCCCAAGTCCCCCATTTTACTACAGACTTCTTTGGAATTATTGGTTACTACACGATAAGCAATTATGATTAAAGATTCAGTCTAAAGTGTTGGATTCAGTCCTTCAATTAATGCATTCATCATGTTCTTAGGAGAATTTAATAGAGATTTTCAACACTGGCTTGCATTGATGTTAGAGGGGATCAGGTCTGGTCCCGAGGGACCTTTACTAACAAGCTTGCTTCGACCCTGCATTACCATCGAAAAATTCAATGTTTTTACTCATAATTCGCCGTCAAGTTACGTAGTGTACATAGTGACCGCATTTGTACATAGTGCACAGATGTTCCTTGAATTGCCTTCAAATCAGGTTGAAAAAATGACGGATTGTTGTTTACGGTGATGGGTAAAACCACACATTTTTTAATTCTGTGTCTCCTCTGTCTATGACCACGCTATGAATTCAAATGGGATATTTTTTTAAAACTATATAATCATTTACTCGCAACTACATGTAGACTCAAGCGTGGTAACCCCCGACACTGTAATTCTAACCCCCCGCGGTGTCTCTGATCCATTTTTCACTGAACTTTTGGATCGAAATAGATCGCTGATCAATTTCTCTGAGCTTTTAAACATTACTTCATATGGTAGTCTATTCTTGTGTAAATCAATTTAAAACTCGGAGAATTTATTTATTGAACATAGCCTCATTGTACACTTAGTCATTCAAACCTTGGGGTTTGGTTAATGCTCTTTAGCTACTATTTCTATTATAACCGCCAGGTTAACCGTTATGTTAAGACCGAATGTATCCTAGACATTCTGTCATTATGACAGTCTTTCTTAATGACATTCTATTATCTGTCAGAATTAAATTAGACAGAATGTCAGAATGAAATTAGACAGAATGTCAGAAAGAAATTAGACAGAATGTCATATTTATATTAGACAGAATGTCATAATTATATTAGACAGAATGTCATAATTAAATTAGACAGAATGTCAGAAATAAATTATACAGAATGTCAGAATTAAATTAGACAGAATGTCAGAATTAAATTAGACGAAATGTCAGAATTAAATTAGACAGAAGTTCAGAATTAAATTAGAATGTCAGAATGAAATAAGAATGTCAGAATTAAATTAGACAGAATGTCAGAATGAAATTAGACAGAATGTTTGAATCAAATTAGACAGAATGTCAGAACTAAATTATACAGAATGTCAGAATCAAATTAGACAGAATGTCATAATTAAATTAGACAGAATGTCAAAATTAAATTAGACAGAATGTCAGAATTAGACAGAATGTCAAAAATAAATTAGACAGAATGTCAAAATTAAATTAGACAGAATGTCAAAATTGAATTAGACAGAATGTCAAAATTGAATTAGACAGAATGTCAAAATTAAATTAGACAGAATGTTTGAATTAAATTAGACAGAATGTTAAAATTTCTGAAAAATTATGTCAGAATTAAATTAAAAATTATGTCTGAAGTCAGAATTATGAAAATAATGTGGGTGGCTTCCTTCTAGTGCGCCGGCGTGTTGGTCATGGGGTGTTTCGTCCTCTATCGTTGTCGGGACTGCTTGCATTTCTACTGTTTCTGTTTTCTCATCACAAGGTCGTAAACTTATACTTTTTTATTAGATAATAATGATTGTTCCCCGTCAAAAGTTTCGGTTCGAATTGAAATCTCCAAGAAAATCAAAGAATATAAAAAAATTTCATTTCTTTTAACTTGAACCCGACCGACAGAACTGCATACTTCGTTATTTCTCTTCTTCCGATCCAGCTTTTGTTTCAATTTCCATATCCGTTCCGGTCGAGTTTCAGCTTCGGAAGTACACTCTTGGCTTCACTTTATTTCTTTACGCACACCCAACATATTTTTTATCGTCATTTGCTTTTATTTCGAACCACTAAGAAAACATTACCTCGCACAGCACATATCACATAGAGTATATCGAAACTTCAGGGCCTATACTTTCAAAACTCGCTAAGTGAACGTAAGTACTTACGCTCTATTTTCTTGTCTATGATTGGTGAATTTTGCTTGAAAGGCCGTCAATGATTGGCTGATGAACTTACGATCTATTAACTTTTTTTGAAAGTATAGGCCCTGATCTCTAATTTCACAGTAATTGACTTTCTTTTTACTGCGCAACACAATACCTATATGGACGCATTTATGCGTCAGTTTGCTAGGCACTGTGGCGGAAACTAATATGGCACTATAACGACATGGCACTCTGACTATAATGCCACTTCGCTCAGTGGCACTGTCCTAACGACCACTCCCTCAATACGTAATATTACACAGGAATCTTCATGTATATTCCCGTGCTTCAACTCTAATAACAATATTGACCCCGGGCTTGTCTTGCCAAGATATTTCATGTTGTTGGATTTAGAATGGAAACTACTTCTTGTAGTTTGCTTACAATATTCAGGGAATCTGTTTGCGTGTCCGGGAAGTCTTATGTTTTTTCAGTGCTTGTTCCTTAGCTACCATCTACTTCTTTACCTCCTACGTCTTTACCACCTACTTCTCTACCATCTACTTCTTTACCTCCTACGTCTTTACCACCTACTTCTCTACCACCTACTTCTCTACAATCTAATTTTTACCATCTACTTCTCTACCGTCTACTTCTCTACCATATTCTTTAAGCTACCATCTACTTCTCTACAATCTATACTTCTCTACCGTCTACTTCTCTACCATCTTTTTCTCTGCAATCCACTGCTCTACCACCTACCCCATGAGTTAAATATGCTCACGATGAAGACAAACTTTCGGTTTTGGTTTATGTTTTTAGAACAATCCGCCATAATTGATTCTTGTTTTTAGAACTAACTGTCATAATTAGTTTCTGTTCGTTATGTTTTTGACTTGACAAAGTTCTCACATAAACATCACATACACGGCCTATTCATACCTCAGTAGAGGTTGCTCTAAATAGATCAATTTATTATTTTGAACCCCGTTTGATTCACTTTGTTGTAGTAGAATAAGTTCATTGACGTCGTTAAAATTGTTTATTGCAAGTCGCTGCTTAGGTACAATCGAAAATTATTTTTAGCCGTGTAACCTCTTTGCTGAGAATTTGAGGTTCACTGCTTCTTATTAACGTTAACAACGCTGCAATTTATTATTATGTTGTGTAGGGGACACTAAGCTTATATTTGTGTTTAAACCTTTATATTATTTAAACAATGACACTCAATCCAAAGTGTGAGTTAGACTAAAAGAGTCCCGTTGCTAGACTGTGTGTCAAAGCTAAATTTTAATCCATAAATCATTTTTCCGCTTTATTATAGGAATCTCCCGTATGACTAACCAATTAAACATTTCGTCGCCACTGCCGCTTCGCTTCAGCCCTACTCTCAGATAAATTAGTGACACGTTGTCCAAATTGCGATGCACATTTTTACCTTTGAGTGGGTCATCGTCAACCAGATAAGATAGTGGATAAGTCACGACCCTTGGGCCATACTTTCAAAACTAGCTAAGCGAACGTAAGTACTTACGCTCTATTTTCTTGTCTATGATTGGTGGATTTTGCTTGAAAGGCCGCCAATGATTGGCTGATGAACTTACAATCTCTTAACTTTTTTTGAAAGTATGTCCCCAGGTAGTCGTGGATAAGATAGTGGGTCACTATTTGGGCAATGTAATTTGTTCATTCTTCCCAGTGTAGTTACTCCGAACAACGGGCACGCCAAAAAGCAAGACTTCTCCCATGGGCATGACCTACCCTAACCTATCATTCAGACGTGTATGGTTGTGTCGCATTCATTTATATCATCCATCATCTTAACTATCATTATTCGCTTATAGGTTTCCTTGACAATGTCCCCATCAGCTATTGCCGAGCTGCAAACCGCGAGATGTCGCCGCGTATCTAAGTTTTTTTAAGACAGAAATTCGCTTTAATTTAGGCCGCAATCCGCAAACACGATATAAATATTGGTGAAAATTGATCGGATTCAGGGAAGCAGATAGCTTCAAAGAAATTACAAGTCGACCTTTAGTTTCATTCCCGAGTCGTACTCAAGTTTTGATTTAGAAACGGAGTGTGTAGTTCTTTCATTCGTGTGTAGTTGTTTCGACGGAGTTTGATATTTCTGTTCAACATAAAGCTTTAATTCTCAACAAAACGATTTCTGCTCAACCTCCCGATTGATGAAGATATAAAGACTGAGCCTTGCAGTGCGATGAAGAAGTTATGAAAAACCGTCCTGAATTTTGCGGTAAAGATTTGCCGAAAACGCGAGCGCGTGATTTGATCAGGATCAAATATAAGACGGAAGACACTGCTTATGTCTCACAAAACGGGTGTAAACTAAATGCACATGAAATAAGAGGTCTCACAAAGCGAGAGTAAACTGAATGTATATGAAACGATAGATACCCTCATAAACCGGGAGTAAACCGAATACATGGAACAATAAATAGTCTCGCACAGCGGGAGTAAATTAAAATGACCTGAAACAAGAGATAATTTCTCAAAACGGGACCAAAAAAATGTACATAATCCAAAAAATGATAAAAACGAAGCAGCGGTAATTTTAACGAGGTTTGCATGGTGTCCAGGCAGCACCTGGCGCTACGTACGAGCGTCCATGTCACTGTCGGGCTACATGCCGCCCCTCTGTGATCCTGTCGACGGACATCTCCTGCTTGACGGGGGCTACGTCAACAACTTGCCAGGTACATACCTCATCATCATCGTCTCTTAACATTAGTGACATACCTCCTCATCGTCTCAGTTACATACCTCATCATCGTCTCATAACCATAGTTACATACCTCTTCATCGTCTCATAACCATAGTTACATACCTCTTCATCGTCTCTTGACCATAGTTACATACCTCTTCATCGTCTCATAACCATAGTTACATACCTCTTCATCGTCTCTTGACCATAGTTACATACCTCTTCATCGTCTCTTGACCTTAGTTACATACCTCCTCATCGTCTCTTAATTGTAGTTACTTAACTACCGTTGATGATATTCGAAGTTAAGAGCCTAGTATATAATGGTAATTAACGTTAGTAGACGAATGGTTACCTCTCTCAGGTACCTCCTCATCGTCTCTTGACCATAGTTACATACCTCTTCATCGTCTCTTAACTGTAGTTACTTGTTGATGATATTCGAAGCTAAGGGCCTAGTATTTAGTGTTAACGTCAGTAGACGAATGGTTAACCCTCCCAGGTACTTCCTTATCGTCTCTTAACCATAGTTACATTCACCATCTTCAATTATATTCGTAGCCAAAACGTAGACATGGCCCGGCTCCAAGAACTTATGTTTACCCTATGTGTTTACCCTGTGGACTCCCGTTACGGAAAAGGTATGTGGGATCTACTGCACCGGCCTCTCTACTCCGAAGGATTTCTTCATTTGCGTAAGTTCACGGCTATGTCGGCCTTCATTATCATTTGCATCATCAGCATCATTTGCATCATCATCATCATCATTATATCTCATCATCGTAAGAGCGTGGCAGCTAATCCTGCTGGTGTCGACTAATAATCATAGCGTTTGTGTGTGCTTTCGCGTGTGTTTGTTTGATACTTTTAGTCGACGTAATGTATATCCTTGGATGGCTTTAATTTGACCTCTGGACTGGTGGTGCTATTCGGTTCGACAACTAGACCGGATAATGGTTCGAGGTGCGACTACTATATATATAGACCTGACAGCGATTCGCGGTGCGATAGCTAGACCCGATAGTAATTCGCGGTACCGAAAATGCCATGTTATTGGTTCGCGGTGCAAAAACTGGACCCGATATATAGTAATTCGCGATTCAGAAAATGACCTGGTAGTGGTTCACGTGCAGAAAGTAGACCGGGTACTGGTTCGCGGTGCGACATCTAGACCTGATAGTGGTTTGTGATGCATAAACTAGACCATCCGTAACAAAATTTAGATGCGGGCCTGACTCGGCATTTTCAGCCGCTTAGGACTCGGGGCGCACGTACATCAGCTGCTCCAAGTCCGCTTCCGTTCGGGATATGCAAGGCAGCCTCTGGGCAGCTTGCAAGCTCGGTATGACTGGCTCAGCCAACCCTATCATACTCACAGTCGACTAATATATACAGATGTCGTGTCATAATACGTGATGAAGCAGAACAGCACAGACCTTCCGAACACTATTTGAAAGTGTTCAATATACTGTTAGAAAAAACGGTCCCACTGGCATTTTAGTGGCCGGTCGCCCCGTGAAAATAAACTGTTTCGCCGTTTTTATCAGATGTTTTACGGATTTCTAGTGTTAAATTAGAATAAAAACGGCGACACGGTGTTACTTTTCACGTGCCGACCGGCCACTGAAACGCCGGTAATACCGTTAACGGGAATTTTTCTAACAGTGTACCTAGTGTTCAATATGAAGTCAGAACGAAAATTATGACCTGCATCTGATTTCGATTGGTTAGCCAAGCTGACCCAGATTTACTTTAAACCCAGTGTAGTGACTCTAGGGCAAGAGCCTATTGGTGGTACCCGAATTTTGTTGGGGTGAGAGTGGTTCGCGGTGCCAAAACGTGCCGAAAAAATGCTATTGCTGAGGAAGCTAAAAACGTTTTCTAACCTAAAAATGGAGGTAATATCAATCTTAGGTCATGATTATTTCAAGAATAACAAAAAAAATTGTCACTCGACCCACTGGCGAGTAATTTTTTTATAATTTTAATTTTTACCAAATTTCTGAGTCTTCAAATTCTAAAACCTGCCCTGCATGACCTATCCACTTCGTATGTGTTAGAATAATAGTATTTCTTGCATTCTGTCACATGTTTTATGGTTAAAACGAGTTTGCTCATTTAAGTCCTCTTCGTTTGTCCGGTAGTCCTTTTTGTTTGTTACTTTTTTTCTATCCTAATTATTCCAGTTTTACCAGTTATATGTAAGGTCTCGTAGCACGGTTTGTGTGTTAATGCAATTTCGCATAAATGTGGCGTTCTTTATTATGTCTGGTTATTAGAGCGAATGATTTATACATTACTTTATTCCACTTTATTTCATTTTCTTCCATTTATCTCGTTTGCTTTCATTCTCTTTCATTTGCTGGTTGCGAGTGACTCGATCGTCTCATAAAGGAGAGGCTCTCGGTGTCAGGTGCTTCTCGCCATTTTTTTGGCTGTGAAATTACTTATTGTTTTCGCTGTGCAACGACTTGTTTTCGCTGTGCAACTTCTTGTTTTCGCTGTGCAACGACTTGTTTTTGCTGTGCAACGACTTGTTTTCGCTGTGCAACGACTTGTTTTTGCTGTGCAACGACTTGTTTTCGCTGTGCAACGACTTGTTTTTGCTGTGCAACGACTTGTTTTCGCTGTGCAACGACTTGTTTTTGCTGTGCAACGACTTGTTTTCGCTGTGCAACGACTTGTTTTCGCTGTGCGACAACTTCTTGTTTTCGCTGTTCAACGACTTGTTTTCGCTGTGCGACAACTTCTTGTTTTCGCTGTGCAACGACTTGTTTCCGCTGTGCGACAACTTCTTGTTTCGCTGTGTAATGACTGTTTTCGTGGTGCTTCGCGTGTCCTGTATGCCCGCTTCCGTACGTCCACTTTCGATTGCTTGCTGCTCCTGTCGGCGCACTAGAAGGTATTGCTACTGTCATATGTTTTAGCTCTTTGAGCTCCTTTCTGAAGTCTCTTTATATTGTAGCTTTAAATGCCAATGTTAATGGTTCTTGCTACTATTATTACTTTATATTTTGCTACTTGTTTAAATCGCAATTTACTCTCCGATCAGTAACCGGGCCTAGCATTATACACGTTCCTAAATGCGATTGTACGACCAGAAAGAAGTCGATTCGTTCAGTTTCTTTGGGCTAATTGATAAATAGGAAAAGTCTCTAGGTGCTGATAGATGGTTAGCCCTAGCAATCCAGAGGGGTTTTTGAAACTGATGAACGAGCGGACAACGATATCAGGAAGAGGGAAGAGAAAGGGAAGGGATAAGGGGCTGGGTCAATTGGATGGGACGAACTCTGGACAGATTCAAACACCCGACAATGAAGAAATAAAGTTCTGTTTAGTGTCAATGGACCTATAGCGTCTTCAGTAGCAATCGTATGAACGAGGGTGTGAATAAGGGACCGTTTAGTAGCCGGCTGGCAGAACCGGGGACCGTACTGTAGCCGGCTGGCAGAACCGGGGACCGTTTAGTAGCCGGGTGGCAGAACCGGGGACCGTATATAGTAGCCGGCTGGCAGAACCGGGGACCGTATAGTAGCCGGCTGGCAGAACCGGGGACCGTATAGTAGCCGGCTGGCAGGACTAGGGACCGTATAGTAGCCGGCTGACAGTACCGGGGACCGTATAGTAGCCGGCTGGCAGAACCGGGGACCGTATAGTAGCCGGCTGGCAGGACCGGGGACCGTATAGTAGCCTGGTGGCAGAACCGGTGACCGTATAGTAGCCTGGTGGCAGGACTAGGGACCGTATAGTAGCCGGCTGACAGTACCGGGGACCGTATAGTAGCCGGCTGGCAGAACCGGGGACCGTATAGTAGCCGGCTGTGGTGACCGTATAGTAGCCGGCTGACAGTACCGGGGACCGTATAGTAGCCGGCTGGCAGGACCGGGGACCGTATAGTAGCCTGGTGGCAGAACCGGGGACCGTATAGTAGCCTGGTGGCAGAACCGGGGACCGTATAGTAGCCGGACGGCAGAACCGGGGACCGTATAGTAGCCGGCTGGCAGAACCGGTGCCTATAACAGAAGGGTCCCGAACCGGCCCAAGTCGGCGCGACAGAGAGACGGTTCATAAATCTTGCTCAGTAGAAAAAAAAATGCAGGAACGAGCGGTAGACAGAAATTTTTGGTAATTAGTGCGTTTCGGAGTAACTATGAACTAGCCAAGTCCTGGTGGTCTGGTAGGAGCTATCTCTTGTGGTAAGGTTGCTGACTGCTGGTGACCAGCCTTAGGATATTTAGGATTGTTTGTAGACATTTCATGGCAGTTTCGGAACCGAGTGTGTACCAGATCAGAGCTGCATTATAGTGTTGCTGGTGTTTTAAGTGCTCGCGGGTGCTGATAGTGCTGTAACCCCCTAAGCGTGCTGTTGTGCTTAAATTTTAAGACATTTGGGTTTTTATATTGAGAATTCGCGGCATAAAGTGGTTTTTGTGTGCTTAAATTTTAAGACATTTGGGTTTTTTATTGTGAATTCGCAGCATTACGTGGTTTTTGTGTGCTCAAATTTTAAGACATTTGTTTTTTTATTGAGAATTCGCAGCATAAAGTTGTTTTGGTGTGCGATGGCAGAATTTTCTGCTGTCTATAGCCTATCCCTCAAAACACGATCGGTAATTTTGACTTTTGTGTAATGTTTTGTGCAAGTAAACTAAATCTACTTTTAGCTTTAGAATCTCGCTGACCTGTACGGCTTTCTACCCTCGCACTTTTTTATTCTCATCAGATATGACGAATAGTCTTAATGGCGTTGAGCTTTTGTCGTTCGTATTATGTGATACTTGCTATTGTTGACCGACATGTTTGTGTGTTATGGCTGCTTTCATTCTGGCAAATGACGTTGAAACAATGCTGATTACGAGTTAATTTTGTTGAAAAAACGTTCAACCAACGTTATTTCAACGTCATGGGCCTGGTGGAAATTTATTGTTACCCTGCATGTTTGTGAACCATGCCTGGCATGTTTCTCTCATGATTTGGTGTGCTGCTTCGAGTTTCATATCATATTGACTTTTCCTATACCATATCTCATCTCATTCACTTTTCATATCTTATATCTTATCATATTCACTTATCATATCACATCATATTCACTCATCATATCTCATCATATTATCTTGTCATATTCTCTCATCAAAAAGTTATCATATCTTATATCTTATCATATTCATTTATCATATCTCATCATATTCAAATATCACATCATATTCACTTATCATATCTCATCATATTATCTTGTCATATTCTCTCAACAAAAAGTTATCATATCTTATATCCTGTCTCTTATACACATCTAGATGTGTATAAGAGACAGATGGTGGACTGTGANCTACGAGTCTAACTTCACCAACTACGGAGACTGGTTGTCTGGCTTTGACCTCCTGCTTAGGAAGACGTTTCCCTTCAAGTACTTCTACAGGAGCGAGCTGAGGGTCAGTAACTGATTGTTGTGGCATATACAGGGTTATACGAGTCTAACTTCACCAACTACGGAGACTGGTTGTCTGGCTTTGACCTCCTGCTTAGGAAGACGTTTCCCTTCAAGTACTTCTACAGGAGCGAGCTGAGGGTCAGTAACTGATTGTTGTGGCATATACAGGGTTATACGAGTCTAACTTCACCAACTACGGAGACTGGTTGTCTGGCTTTGACCTCCTGCTTAGGAAGACGTTTCCCTTCAAGTACTTCTACAGGAGCGAGCTAAGGGTTAGTAACTCATTGTTGTGGCATATACAGGGTGATTCACGGAAACTTCCTGACTTGAAAGCTCAATAAAAAAGATGTGTTAAAGATATCATTACATTATAAATTTTATTGGAGAAGACAGTACCTGAATTTTTGTATAATTTAGTTTTGAAGATAGCTTTCGACATATGACGGCCCCATTTTCAATGCATTCAGTTGGTCGATTTTTGAAGTTCCGTTCAACTCGCTGAAGCATATTGACGGTTATGTTGGCGATTGCTTAGCGTATGTTATTCTTCAAATGAGGTAAGGTCCTTGGACAGTCATTGTAAACAATTGATTTAAGAAAACTTGCCATAAATGTGTTCATCCACGTAACAATCGATTTCCTATCAAGAACCGGACCTGAATAACGAATACGGAACCGAGTAGGAATGCACGTTGAGTGGCGATAATGGAACCGCAAAAGAAAAGTACTTCTCGACAGCAAACGCACGCTGCTCGCTTGTCCAATGCATAGTGGCAACTGACTATATAGGCACAACACGAAACTTCATGACCTTGCCTTTCATATGAAATACTCTCCCCGCCCTTTTTTACATATGGCTGCTTGGCACGGAATACAAAACAGGAACTTTCCATGAATCACCCTGTAGTTAGTTAGTTAGTACGAGTCTGGAGTAGTGACTGGATTGTTAAAATTCTTGATTGAGGGTCAGTAACGACTAACATCGTCACGTTTTGTAGGTTTTGTTTAATATTTAATTAATGTTAATTAATTAATAATATTTTTTTACTATATTGGTGGAGACGTTGATTGAATTCGCCATGTTTTTGCGCAGGTGCCGACCCCGTACCTCATGTTTTAACATCTTTCTTGAAATTTTGATCGAGGCGGCCATGTTTGTTCTCGTATTTTGATATATTTATCGAAACGTTGATTAATTCGGCCATGTTTTTGCGCAGGTGCCAATCCTGTACCTCATATGATTTTAACATTTTAACATCTTTCTTGAAATTTTGATCGAGGTCGCCATGTCTGTTCTCATTTTTTGACTTCTTTATCGAAACATTGATTGATTCAGCCATGTTTGTTCTCATATACTGATATCTTTATCGAAACGTTGATTATTTCCGCTATATTTATTCTCATATTCTGATATATTTATCGAAACGTTTATTAATTCCGCCATGTTTATGGGCAGGTGCCAAACCTGTACGACATCCAGTCGCGGTTGTCGTACGTATCTTGCATCCGTCAGCTGGAGGAGCTCAAAAGCAGCGACTACTGCGAGTACATCAGGCCTCCTATAGACAAGATCCAGACGCTGCAGTTCAACCTCTTCGACGAAATTAAGGTCTTTTTCTAGTGCTTTCTAATGCTTAGGGGTTTGGATTGTTATTATAAGGTAGGTATTAGCTTTAAGGCCCTGAGATACCCCAGGTAACACCGCCTAGCGTAATTATAAGGTCAGGCCGCCCATAGACAAGATCCAGACGCTGCAGTTCAACCTCTTCGACGAAATTAAGGTCTTTTACTATTGCTTTCTAATGCTTTGGGTTTTTGGATTGTTATTATAAGGTCAGGCCTCCCATAGACAAGATCCAGACGCTGCAGTTCAACCTCTTCGACGAAATTAAGGTCTTCTTCTATTGCTTTCTAATGCTTGGGTTTGGGTTTGTAATTATAAGGTAGGTATTAGCTTTAAGGCCCTGAGATGCCCCAGGTAACACCGCCCATAGACAAGATCCAGACGCTGCAGTTCAACCTCTTCGACGAAATTAAGGTCTTCTTCTATAGCTTTCTAATGCTCCGGGTTTGGGAGCGTAAGTATAAGGTAGGTATTAGCTTTAAATCACTGAGATACCCTAGGTAACACGTACCTGGGATCGTTTTGGGGCTAAGATTCGATGCTTAACCCTCGATTTGTGATACATTACCCTCAGAAAATCGATTGTCAGCACAAGGCCATTTTATCAGAACAGGGCCATTTCATCACCTTATTTCATTACCAGGAGATCGGCTACCAATATGGGGCCATTTCATCGCCCCTTTCACCACCTCATTCCACCACCAGGAGACCTGCTACCAACACGTGGCCATGGCCACTTCATCACCATATTTCGCCACCTTATTTCATGCACCATATTCCACCACCAGGAGATCGGGTACCAGCTGTCACCATTTCACCACCCCATTCCACCAGGAGATCGGGTACCAGCACGGCGCCTCGTATTTCACCACCCCATTTCACCACCCTATTTCACCACCCCATTTCACCACCATACCCCCCCACCAGGAGATCGGGTACCAGCACGGCGCCTCGTATTTCCGCGGCATGAGCGCGAGTGGCCGCAGCGTCGAGGAGATCTACAGACTCCGCCGCCGCAGCGACAGCCTGTCTGCTGCTGCCTGCCTCAGCCCCCCTGCTGGGGGCTATACAGACCTCGCCCACCTCGTTAACTGCCACGACGCTCCCAACACAACCACCGTATATGGTAGCTTATTAAGTAGCTTATTAAGTAGCGTGCCTCAGCCCCCCTGCTGCGGGCTATACAGACCTCGCCCACCTCGTTAACTGCCACGACGCTCCCAACACAACCACCGTATATGGTAGCTTATTAAGTAGCTTATTAAGTAGCGTGCCTCAGCCCCCCTGCTGCGGGCTATACAGACCTCGCCCACCTCGTTAACTGCCACGACGCTCCCAACACAACCATCGTATATGGTAGCTTATTAAGTAGCTTATTAAGTAGCTTATTAAGTAGCTTATCAAGTAGCTTATTAAGTAGTTTATTTAGTAGTGGTAGCTTATTAAGTAGCTTATTTAGTAGTGGTAGCTTATTAAGTAGCTTATTAAGTAGCTTATTTAGTAGTGGTAGCTTATTAAGTAGCTTATTAAGTAGCTTATTAAGTAGCTGATTAAGTAGCGTGCCTCAGCCCTCCTGCTGCGGGCTATACAGACCTCTCCCACCTCGTTAACTGCCACGACGTTCCAAACATAACCACCGTACATGGTAGCTTATTAAGTAGCTTAAAAATCTTGATAAATTATTGCTATAATCTTGGATAAATCATCGCTATTAGTAATAGAACTGGAGTGCAAAATTATATGTTTTAGTTCGTGTTATTTACGGTACTTTATTTCGTTAACTCCCACGACGTTCCCAACAGAACCACCGTATATGGTAGCTTATTCAGTAGTTTAAAAATCTTGATTAATTATTGCTATAATCTTGGATAAATCATCGCTATTAGTAATAGAACTAAAGTGAAAAATTGTATATTTTAGTTCGTGTTGTTATCAGTCGTTCATTTCGTCAACTGTCACGAGACTTATAACGGCTTCTTTGGTAGCTTTATATGGTTCTCTTGCTACATGCCTCGCTACTTCGCTGTTCCCTGTTACATCCCTGTTCCCTCGCTACACCCCTGTTCCCTCGCTACACCCCTGTTCCCTCGCTACACCCCTGTTCCCTCGCTACACCCCTGTTCCCTCGCTACACCCCTGTTCCCTCGCTACAGACACGTCCACGGAGGATGACGACGACGCGCTACACTCCGGCTACACGTCAGAGCCCAACACCAACACACGCTACTATCGCCAGGTGTGTACTATTTACTATATTAGTATTAACAATTAAACTTTTTTTTACTTTACTTTAGCTTCATTACCATATTAGTATTAACCATTAAACTTATTTTTTACTTTACTTTAGCTTCATTACTATATTAGTATTAACAATTAAACTTATTTTTTAGTTTACTTTAGCTTCATTACCTTACAAGTATTAACAATTGAACTTATTTTTAGTTTACTTTAGCTTCATTACCATATAAGTATTAACAATTAAACTTATTTTTCACTTTACTTTAGCTTCATTACCATATAAGTATTTACAATTAAAAATATTTTTACTTTACTTTAGCTCCATCACTATATAAGTATTAACAATTAAACGTATTTTTCACTTTACTTTAGCTTCGTTACTATATTAGTATTAACAATTAAACTTATTTTTTAGTTTACTTTACTTTAGCTCCATTACCATACCTATAAGTATTACCAATGAAACATATTTTTTACTCTACTTTAATAGCTCCATTACTATGTTAGTTTTAACAATTAAACTTATTCTTTACTGTCAAACCATGCCGGTTTCTGCCGTACATTCTTACTACACCGGCTCGCGCTGTGTTTTTTAATAATTGTTTATTATTTATAACTTTAATTTATTCTTGTTTCTGCCGTACATTCATACAATAATTTCTAGCCCTTCATTACCATTATTGATTTCATCAATATTGATATCGTGATATTGATAATGTAAACATTAATCACGTGCTCATTTTCGATAAGTTTAATAATTAACCGTAATAATTGTTACTGAGCGGTAGGTTATCTATCCATCACGAATAGAAAGTCATAATTCGTTACGATAATAGGTTCATCATTCGGTGTCTTTTAAAGCTTTATTACTCATCACGATTTATCACACTAGTATACTAGTATGGCACGGTCATTACTGTCAAAGTCAACATCATTACTGTCAAGGTCGAGGTCATTACTGTCAACATCATTACTGTCGAGGTCTAAGTCATTACTGTCCAGGTCTAAGTCATTACTGTCCAGGTCTAAGTCATTACTGTCCAGGTCTAAGTCATTACTGTCCAGGTCTAAGTCATTACTGTCCAGGTCTAAGTCATTACTGTCCAGGTCTAAGTCATTACTGTCCAGGTCTAAGTCATTACTGTCCAGGGGCCGGATTACCAAAGCTTCGTAACTTTTTGTACTTACGACAAAAAAGTTCTGTGGTACGTAAATACACCCTAATTTTGGCATTATCAAAACTTTCGTACGCAAGTCTTAGCTAAAAGCCTAAATTTTTTTCCCGCGCAAATGTTTTTATAATACCACCGCTAGTATTACGTTGTCATAGCAACGCCACTCGTAAGTCGATTTTGCGTACTAACGGAGTTTTGTTAATACGGCCCCAGGTCTAAGTCATTACCCCTACTCGTACTCACTACCTACTAACACCACAATAACTTATACGTGGTACAGGCTGACCGTGAGCTGCTAACGGCACGTCACCATCGCACGGGCTCACTGTCAGACAATGAGATGATGCACTACGTCAACAGTCATGGTGATGGTGATGACAGTCATGACGATGGTGATGACAGTCATGACGATGGTGATGATGAGGAGGAGGAACCTTCGTCCAGTAAAGACCTCGTCAGGCTGGACAAGACCGGCGACATGGGCGACCAGCAGAAGGATGGCGACAGATGATTCTCGTTACATGTCCTAGAGAACCTAGTGAAGGATATCCTGTAGGATTTATAAAGGATATTGAGTGAAATGATATCTCGTAGGATTTATAAAGGATATTGAGTGGAAGGATATCTCGTAGGATTTATAAAGGATATTGAGAGGGAGGGATATCTCGTAGGATTCTATATAAGATATTGAATGGAAATATTTTGTGTAGGATTTCATAAAGGATATTGAGTAAAAGGATTTTCTGTAGGATTTTGTAACGGATATTGAGTGGAAGGATATCTTAATGAATTTAGTAGGATATTGTGTGGAAGGATATCTTGTAGATATCCTTTTCTTTCTCGCGCTTTGAATCGAGCTTTGTGGCAAACCCACTTTCATTTTTGCTGTTAATGAAGGATTTTCTAGTTTTTCACTGAGTATTGATGTAATGAATGTTTTAAATGTTCCTATGGGATGTAAGTGCCGTGGACCAAACCTAATGCCTTACAACACTGTTGAAAAATGACCGTTAACGGTATTACCGGCGTTTCAGTGGCCGGTCGGCACGTGAAGAGAAACACCGCGTCGCCGTTTTTATTCTAAATTAACACTAAAAATCCGTAAAACATCTGATAAAAACGGTGAAACAGTTTATTTTCACGGGGCCACCGGCCACTAGAACGCCGGTGGGACCGTTTTTCACCGTTTTTTCTAACAGTGAAGGCCGAGTCGTGTTGTCTTAAAAGATTATTCGTCTATGAACTTCTCACTAACTTAATTGACCAGGAGCTTACTTCATTGTTCCTTATTTTATTTTAATGAATTTCTCTTACGTTTGTGGTAGTAAAATGATTACCAGGAGTTCCTTGTAGTTACTCACCAAGAAAACTATGAGAACTGGTGCAGTTCGCATCATAAATTTTTCACACCATAAATTTTTCGCACCATAAATTTTTCGCACCATAAATTTTTCGCACCATAAATTTTTCGCACCATAAATTTTTCGCACTATAAATTTTTCGCACCATAAATTTTTCGCACCATAAATTTTTCGCACCATAAATTTTTCGCACCATAAATTTTTCAAACACTTTCTTATTTTGCATTTATGTTCAGTTTAATTAATACCTTTGAAACGATGTTGGTGCTCATCTACCTAACTCTTCTCATCATATGTGAATATTTCATTGATTAACTGAACAGATATTATTTCAGATCTGATACACGTCAATTTATTATCTTTCACTCAGCAGGCAATATGCAGTTTACGACAGTTGCTTTTTATCTTCTATTTTATTGCATCTCTTATTCACAAACTCATCCATCGAATTCACTTTCCATTCTGAATTCACTTTCCGAGAATTTTTTTTTTTTTTTTGAGAAATCATGAACAAATGTAAGTATGTTCATGTCTGTCAGGCTGACATCGAGAGCCCCAATGTTCGAAGGATTGAATTTATCCCTGAGTCCTACGTGCTGGTGATCCTACAGCGCGTAGGATTAAATTAAAGGACCCTGCTTAGTGTAATCCTACAGCGCGTAGGATTAAATTAATGGACCCTGCTTAGTGTAATCCTACAGCGCGTAGACATTACCAAATCCTACGGTCAGTAATCCGACAGTTCAGAGTTTTGATATTATCTTCGTTCAGTAATTATAAAATATAAATAAATAAAAATATTATTATAATAGAATATTACTGTCAACTTGTGTCGATTTATTATGATACGCATTATACGTTGAAGATAATACGAGTATTTTCTGTGTATTGTTTATGTGTTGGTCATTTCATCTGTTCTGTAGCGTTCGTTATGAGCGATGTGTTTTGTTTTTTTGTGTAATAATAATGATATAATAATGATGAGAGTATGGATGTTTATGATGCAAACATAGCCTTGAGAGGTTCCTACACTGTTAGAAAAAAACGGCGAAAAAACGGTCCCACCGGCATTCTAGTGGCCGGTCGCCCCGTGAAAATAAACTGTTTCGCCGTTTTTATAAGATGTTTTACGGATTTCTGGTGTTAAATTGGAATAAAAACGGTGAAACGGTGTTTCTTTTCACGTGCCGACCGGCCACTAAAACGCCGGTATTACCGTTAACGGTCATTTTTATAACAGTGTATGCTATGTGATGTCAATGATTTATATATTGCCTTGTCAGATTCCTATGCTTAGTCCTACGATTTTTGTGCATCTCGTCTCTTAAAAGTTCGTCTCGTGAGCCTGCGACTTCCTCAGACTTATGTCCATGGCAGCTCTAATGCACAATATTTTCTACTCGAATACTAGAAATATTGTCTCTAGATAACCGTGAGTGTAACGCTAGATAACTAAACTATCCTGCTAGTCCTAGAACCAACTCAGGGTGCAAACTCCTGATTTTTTATGTTAAATAGTTTATGTTCAGTACACGCGCTTGTAATGATAGCATGTGGTATATCTCCGTCACAAATGGTGCGGTAAATGTAGATTTTTTATTAATAATACTATAAAAAACATTCTTGTATGACGATTACAGTTTTGGCCATTTTTTTAGTACAAATTACACGTGGGATTATTTCGCTTGATAACAATGACCCTAAAACAATTTTTTATCTCCTAGTAGGATAACATCCTTCGTACGTTCAGGTTGTCTCTTTTCCTAAGTTATCCTACACAAAATATGATAGAAGTTTTCAGAAATTATTTTCTGCTTAAATTAAAATCTCGTGTGCGATCGTTCTGTACTTCGCCTCGTATAATATTATGTATAATATCTTCCCTTCATTCAGGATGTATGTAAATCAAGTTTTTTGTATAACATCTCAACTACAAATCAATTTCGAACATTAACAACATTCCTATTGCTCTCTGTAAAGATTTCAACAGGTAAATAAAAGATTTTGCGTCACTCCTGACCATTTTTATTCTTTACCTGGAACGAACTGCCGATTGCAACAATTTGTATTTACGATTTAAATGCAAAATACATTTTGCATTTAAATTTTTGATCTCACATTAAATTCATATTTTGATCTCACATTAAATGTGCGTGGCCAAGAATTGATTTCATTGAAAATAATATCATTTTGATGGTCATACCACATATATACTTCAGTTCCTGTGGTCACTTAGAACAGTAATGATGGCTTGCGTTGTTATAAATAAATGCATAATTAGGGTCTTCATGATAATTGCTACATTTATAAATGCATGAGGAGCTATTCCATTTCATTTGTGATATCTCAATCACATTATGGAACTTGTATTGATTAATAAATAAATGTCGGGAAAAAATTTCAAATGGGGTTTGATGCGACGTGTATTGATTAATAAATATATAACGGAAATTTTTTTAAAATATTGTTTGATGCGGATTTCAAGAGCCTGCGATGCTTATCTGCATTTTTAGGTGCTTTTTGTAACTAAAATAATTTTAATAAACGATAATTAGATAAATTAATTTAGAGTGGCTGAAGACTATTTCAGGAGGCTGTAGCCTGCGTAAAATAGGCTTAATTACTCCACTGGAAGCTGTTGGTTGGTACATCCTTAGATACCATTGATTAGTAAATTCTTTTATATCCTTAATCGGTATGTACATTTATAGCCTTGATCGCTATACCCTCGTAATATACCCTTGATAAGTATATACTAATATATCCTTGATCGGTACCTATATACTAAATTAGACAAAATAAGGGAAAACGCCTGAGAAATCCACATAATATATTTTAGGATTGTGTAGGTCCACTTTTTGCGTCTATTACAGCCTCGATTCACCGAGGTATTGAGTGATACAAATTATGAATTGTTCCTAAAGGAATTTTAACCCAAACCCATCCTTCAGTTGAAACTCTCTCCACTTCATGTAAGACCATGGCAGCGGGAGGCGACTTCTGACTTGCATCTCTACAATCGACCACAAGCTCGATAATATTCAGCAGGGGCCTTACTTTCAAAACTCGCTAAGTGAACGTAAGTACTTACGCTCTATTTTCTTGTCTATTATTGGTGGATTTTGCCTGAAAGGCCGACAATGCTTGGCTGATGAACTTAAGAATCTCTTAACTTTTTTTGAAAGTATAGGCCCTTGTCTGGTGATAGTGGTGGTCAAATGAGATGCTCAACTTCATTAGAATGTTCATCGTGCCATTTGTTAACAATTCCAGCTGCACGGATCATGGCCTTATCGTCATCTTGAGTGATGGCATTCCCCTCCGGATACAGTGCTTGAACCATTAGATGAACTTGGTCCTCCTAAATTCCTAAGTAGTCACGGCTGTTGATTCTTCCTAAAGAGAAATTATTAGCCTGCCAGAATTTTAAGAAACATCACCCCAGATCATCACAGATCCCCCGCCATGTTTTACAGTTTGGAGGAGGCAGTCGGGATTAAATGACTCTTTTTAAAATGAGGATTAAATGACTCGGGATTACATGTCTCCAAACGTAAACTCGGTCAGAGGCTGGAAATAAGGTAAACGATGATTCGTCACAGAAAGTCACATTTTTCCATTGCTCGGGGGGCTGATTCTAGAGGTTTTTACACCACTTTAAACGCTTTGAAGCATTTGTATTTAGAACAAAAGGTTTTCTAATTTCAGCTCTTCCATAGAATCCAGATTTTTTTAGCTCTCGGCTGTCAGACTATGGAAACTGGGTGCTGTATGTGTCCATTGAGGTCTGCAGTAATTTTAACAGCCGTGGTCTTTTGATTGTCCCTCACAAGTCGATTTAGGTACAGACGGTTTCTCTCAGACAACTTCGACTTTCCGCCAGACCTGTGCTCTGCTGAGGAAGTTTTTCCTTTCAAAAGCAGTCATTACTTTTGAGACAGTACCTCTAGAAAAGTGAAACATTCGGGAAGTTTCTGTCACACTAGCACCTGCCATACGGACACCGACAATTTGGCCTCTTTGAAAGTCAGAGAGTTTTGCCATTTATAGATTATATTATTAATTAGGTTATGGACACAAAAGTTTTCTAAATTGCGCGAGAATAAAACGTCAACTAGCAGCAATAATAAGCAATAAAACATAAAAATATGTCATGTTTTCATTGTTTAAAACATGTTCAAAAGCTACTATATCAAAATGAGAGGTGTTTCCCTTATTTTGTCCAACCCATGTATATCCATGATCGCTTTGTCCTTATATGTTATATCACCTAGATTTTTATATCCATATATATTCTTGATCGCTATATCCTAATATACCCTTGATCAGTAAGCTTATCCTTGTATATCCTTGATAGATAAATCGTCAAATACCCTTGATTTGTACATCCTTTGTTACCATTGATCCTTATGTTATACCCCCCTCCCTTCTCCGCCGGGATGATGCCCCCCATCTCCCCCGGGATGATGCCCCCCATCTCCCCCGGGATGATGCTTCCATATGGTCTTCCTGCGTGTCGTTCCATATGGTCTTCCTGCGTGTCGTTCCATATGGTCTTCTTGCGTGTCGTTCCATATGGTCTTCATGTGTTGAAACCATCAACATTTTGACTAAAAACCCCTTTAAATAAATCTTAGTTTTCTCGCACTTTCGTTTGCCAAAACTCGGAGAATTTGTGCACTACAA